CATATAATACTTCTCAGGAACTAAAAATCCAAGTTGTACTAACATCCTTTCGAAATAATTAGTTTCTTAAGCCTTAAATATAGATCTTCCAACACAATACTGAATCAGTGAATACACGAATAATGGAGGTGACAAAAGCGCGGGAATAAAGATAGGCCACTATTGGTTTCCTTTACTAGAGAGTTCCACTTTTACAGGTCGCACTAAATAAAGGCATAGACAAGTTACACTTGAGCTGCTAAAAATATAGTATTTTAAGCATTAAAAATTATCGAAATTAAATAGAATTGAAAATTTCTTATTGTCATTTTCAGTACAGCACATAAACAAGAATTTTAAGAGCTTTACCACTACAATTTAACTAATGCTGAAATTTTAATATCTGATAAACTTCTAGGGAAAAAAACCCAACTTGCATGCTCACTTTAATCCAATCAATATATATATATATATATATATATACAAATGGCACTGTGACATGCATGGTTCTAGAGAATAAGGTGAAATGTGAAAGTTTATCAGTCATCAATTGATTTTTTTTCTCAGTCAAATCTGGCCCCAAGACCATAAACTGAGAACAGATTTAAGTCAAAATTTCAAATCGAAATAACTTTTGAAATAATATTGATAATACAATAAATTTTTCATAATATGTTTGAATTGAAGTGTTTTGCACATTTGCAAATTTTTAAGCTAATACATTGAATGAAACCTAAGATATTAAAAATTAAAATTTTGACTTAAGTCTCTTCTCAGTTTATGGCCTTGGGGCCAGGGTTTCTGTGAAAATGGAGCAAATGCTCTTTGCATAGCTAATTCAGCCCCTTCAGCGAACTAAACAATGGTTGTTACCAGTTGTTTTTCAGAGATACTTCAACACAGTACACACATGAGATGCATCCTGAATGTGCACAATATCTTTTTAGACTATTTAAAAAATTCCTGTAATTGTAATTTACCATAATTGAATTAAATATGTCCAGGTCCTGGAATTTTTTCCCGGGGGGGGGGGGGGGGGGGGGGGGTCACCCTAGTCCAAAAATATTTCAACTGTAAAATTTTCTGACAAGCTAAATACAAGAGGCCAATGAACCACATCGCTCACCTGAGCACATTGGATCCCCCATTGTGGCCCCTCCCTATCCCCAGGGGTCATCATTTGAACAAACTTGAATCTACACTACCTGAGGATGCTTCCATATCAATTAGACTAAACATGGCTTTTCTGTTCTTGAGAAGATTTTTTCCTATATATTGCTATGTAAAACTTTGATCACCCGGCCATTGTGGCCCCACCCTACCCCCAGGGGTCATGATTTGAACAAACTTGAACCTTCACTACCTGAATATGCTTCCATATCAAAATGACTAATAATGGCTTTGCTGTTCTTGAGAAGAAGATTTTTAAAGTTTTTTCCTGTATATTCATTTGTAAAACTTTGATTTCCAAGTGTGGCCCCACCCTACCCCCAGGGGTCACGATTTGAACAAACGTGAATCTACTATAACTGATGATGCTTCCATATCAGTATGACTGATCACAGCTTTGTTGTTCTTGAGATTTTTTTAAAAAACTTCCTATGTATTCCTATGTAAAGTTTTGATCCCCTATTGTGGCCCCACCCTACCCCTGGGGGGCATGATTTGAACAAATCTGAATCTACACTATGTAATGAAGGTTTCACATAAGTTTCAAATTTTCTGGCCTTATTGTTCTTGAGAAGAAGATTTTTGAAAGATGCATGACACAAATTTTCACTAATTCTTCACCCAAGGATGCTTTGTGGCAAGTTTGGTCAAAATTGGCCCAGTGGTTCTTGAGAAGGAGTCTAAAATGTGAAAAGTTCACATGCAGACTGATAGCTTAGATAACAGCATGGGGTTATACTTTCAGTAGTTAAATCCATAGTGGGGTGCATATGTCAAAACGTCTTTCTGTACATTCTTTCACACTACAGTTTTATGTTCATATTTTTACTACAGAGCGTGGTGAATTTTAGTACTGGATTCTGCATGTCCATAGTTACTATACACAAGTCTCATATTATGTCTGAAAATTCTTGTGGGGTGAAGTCTATTTTTAGGGGTTTTTTTTTAACCTCGCACTGTCATATCAAACATGAATAAACCAATTTATTGTGCGGTTAACCCCACAATACAAAAGTAACCCCAGAATACTGGAAAATACGCAAGTTTTACCTCACAGTGTAACTCTAGTAAAAACAGCTAGACAGATGGACACCAGACAAAATGTGATCAGAGAAGCTCACTTCAGCTTTCAGCTCAGGTGAGCTAAAAATTAAGGTAAACAACTACAAAACTGAAAATACTATTTTGGTGTGTATTTTGTTGTTGTTGTTGTTGGGGGGGGGGGTATTTACAGAGGAGACAACAAAATCTAAATTATATTGCCCCAAAACATATAAACATATACAACTATATATATAATACATTAAAGCTTAAAACATAGCATTAAGCATACATGGCAGTATCTGGTAAAGACATGGTTTATAAATGTGTTTTAATTGCATTATCTCCAAATTCAAAGCAAGGTAAGGATGGTGTTGACATCAATGTATAGTAATCTGCTAATTTTAAGTGATCAAAGCAGGACTGCCAACCCAAGTAAAAAATAATTAATTTCTTAACAGTATCACTATTTTATTTGGAAGTAATTTATTGATTTTAGATGGGTACAAAACCTGCACATGCAAATAAGCTGACAAAAAGGTACAACATCAACCAAATTTGTCTTTAAACATCTAGTAAAAATAAAAATAGCCAAATTAAGCCAGACAATTAATTTCAGAGAAATTATATACATGTATTTCTCTGCTAAAAGTATTGATAACAGTTTACAGTGACTTAAAAGACTGCCTAACTTACTATATGGAACTGTAGGTAGGACAAAAGAATGACTGTGTAATCATTCATATCCCTAAACAGCTGTAAAATATAAATATCTACATGTATATATAAATTAATCAAGATGTTTCAAGATGCAACCATTTAATGTAAGCAATAATCCACCGTTAGCAGATGTAAAATTTTGGAAAGTTGATTATTTCCTCAATAAATCAGTAAGTCCATAATCAGAATAGGAAGGTTGTTTGTTAGTGATATTATAAATATGATAACATTTTTTCTATAAGCACCCTCAAAACAATGTAACAAAGAAATGTAAAGTCAAATAATATACAGTATATGTGTAGCACTACATGTATTAATTTGTTTGCCATTCATTTTTTTTTTTGCAGCTGGTTCATGCAAATTTTCTTGCTTTCTTTCAAATCCACAAACATTTAACAAATAAAAACATTCCATAAATATAACTATACTTAAGCCAATACAGAACATCATTAATGCACATGCATATATGAAGCTTATACCACATTATCTATTTCATATCTATATCACCATTTCTGAATATCATAGAAAATTTCCTAGAATATTAAATAAATATTATACACAGAGTTAAGGACGAGGTCTTTAAATTTGGCACAGTATTTATAAATCTAAAGTCCTGAAAAAGATGCATCGATTGACACAGGATTTGAATCAATACATACATGTATACATATAGTCATTATGTGTCAATAATTTTAAATTATAATCATGACATAATCAGTATTGAAATGAAATATAATGTAAATATTTTCTTTGTACATGTATCACATTAAACGATCAACCACTAATTTAATCAAGTACTTTTCATTGTTTGACATCCTAGATCTAAGGTTTTTCAAAGCTTGCATTCAGTAATGGCTGAGTGGATGGCATTAGCTACATATTCCATATTTGCAGTTGTCAAAGCACACATATTGATGCGACCATTCTTCAATAGGTAGATGTGGTATTTCTTTATCAAAATGTCAACTTGTCCAGCTGCAAAAATAGGCAAGAATATGAGATATATACAAGCGAATAATATGATTTCATTCAGCTTCAGGATAAATTTAAGAACAAATTACTGACCACATTGCAGTTTATTCTCAAGGTGAATATATATAGCAATAATGTTTGAATGTGCAAAGTTCATGTTTAAATGAGAGCTGATGATGCAAGATACTAAATACTAAAATTGTACAGAAGTGCAGGTTGTGGCAAGATTCCATGATTTCCTTGTTCATAACTGCATGTAGATGTAACTTAGTAACAAATAGATAGTCAAGTTCCATTCCAGGATTTTAATTTTCAGAATTCTTATTTTTCATAGCTCAGATTCAAACATGTATGATTTAATTATCAAAATTGTAACAAGTTTAGGACTGCATGATTTGAAGAATGTTGAGAACATACAGTATAACTGTCCAAACCTAGACAGAATCCAGAGTGCAGAAAAATGTTTGAGATTTATTTCCCTTTGTTAATGATTATGTTACTATTGACCTCTGTATTAATTTTTCTTTTTTCTTTTCTTTTTTTTTTTTTTGTTCACACAGTTTATGACTCCATACTAAATGTGAAATGTAATTCTAAAGGTAGTTTATATCATTATAAACCACCTTTATATATATAATTAAATTTTTTAATTTCAAACAAAATTTTATCTCCATGGCATGTATCTGATAAGGCAAATTACAATCAGCTAGTATAGAATACCACATCCTGTTCTGTCCACAACTCGACTTGCACCACAAACAATACAGCAGTCTTCGACAAATCCCGGGAGTCGAAGCCCGGGACCTGGTAAAATTGGAAGCGGGCATGTGGATATTGCATACTTACAAGCCCGAAGGGCATGTAAATTCTGAGGCCTAAGCATGCGTATTATCAAATTAGATAATACTAATAACATTAAATGTACTTAAAAGTCTGATTTTTCATCTAAAGTGGAGTACCAAATAAAATTTTAACGATAGTTTATTCTACTGCAATTCCAAAGGAACTCTTTTGCAAAGGAGACACAAAATGTACAGGTTGAAAACAATACCAATGGCGAGACAATAGATCGATAGAAATGGATTTCAGATCATTTCCTTGGCATGAAAAGGCAAATAAGAAAAAAATTACTTGATAAAATTCTGGGCATGTAAATATTTGTTCGGGCTAGTGTAATAAGTGGTTAAACCTGCCCAAAGGGCATGTTCTGAAAAAAAGGTTTGACGAAGACTGATACAGTCTCCAAAAAAAAAAAAAATAAATATAAAATAAATAAATAAATGAAGAGAAAATTCTTCAGAATTTTCATCCTTACTTTATCTGCCTCAAATTTCCTACTGATTCTCCATTGCTCAAGAAAAATATTTTCCTGAAAACTTCACACCAACCCATTCACAACTTTATTGACTAATCTTTCAGAGAGATATATTGGCTCAGCACCAGTGAAATAGAAAAAGAACTTCCTTCCAACTTAACTTGCCAAGGTTTCAAGGTATCAAGAACTACAAGGTTCTGACCATAGATGTTTGTCAACTTACGATTTAATCCTGTAAAGCTGAACATCCCTTTCTGTTCGATGATGTGATCCCATTTTCCGGGCGTGCCTAGTGACTTCAATTTCTGGAAGAGCATCTCTCTCATCATCTTGATTCTATCCGACATCGTTTTCACGTGCTCTTTCCTGTGAATACACAACTCTTTATACAGATCTGAAGATATTTTCTAGGCAAAATTTTATGTCAGGTATTTACACTTAATTTGGAATACAATTAAAAAAACTTCCTTAAAAAAGAATGAGTTAAACCTGGGCTCTGTATAAATCCGAGCATATATATTGGCATTGGATTGAAAAAACAATACTGATCTTTTTTTTTTTAATTTTATAGATTACCATTCTGCATAGTATGCTGGGTTATTGAGTACTGATGCGACAATTCTAGCTCCGTGATTGGGTGAATTTGACCAGGTTGTCCTCACAACCATCTCCATCTGAGACTTCACTCGCAGCTTGGCATCTTTATTTGCACAGATTATAGCTAAGTTTCCTATTCTTTCATCTGTAAAAGTACAATGTAGATACATACCGGTACATTTTAATCAAATGGTTTATCTTTTATGGTACAATGTACTTTAGATGAATAAATTCTTTTAAGCCAGCTACATTCTTCAATCATCACACCTGTGACATTTAAAGTTTTAAACAAGGAAACAAAGGCAAGATGAGAATTTTATTTATAGATAGATACTAACTGTATAATCCAAAGTTTTTGGAAAATGATTGTGAGACAAAAAATTCAAATCCCCTTTTAACAAAGTAGCGTGCAACAGATCCGTCCTGCTCCAGGTTTCCAGAGGCAAAACCTTGATATGCCTCATCCAGCATGACCAAAAACTTTTTCTTCTGAAAATGTCAAATTAAAAACACATTACAGAGCATGTTAGACATTATAGACAACTAAGAAACTGTCATAAAAGGGTCCCAATTATACTCATATCATTGATCCTGATTTTTTAACTTTAACATTTCATCAAATTCCCCAAAATTCCTCAGGATCTTCCATTAATTATCATCTATATGTGTCATAAACAAGGGCAGAACAAGAAAAAAATCTATATTACATAAGAGTTTAAACAGAAATAACAATCATTTTTAAATGATCAGATTGCTTTCATGAAAAAATCTTGGAACATTTATTCTATTCTGATTCATTCTGCTTAAGTGGCCAAAGAAATTAGCATTACATATATTTCTTCATACAAGTATCCATGCATATCAGATCAAACATGATGTCGTTAGAAATTCATCTCACTAATTCCAAAATGACTTAATGACAACATCCATAAACACAATGATTAAGTTGTCTTTTAAATTTTGATTGGCTTTAGTTTAGCTCCATTCTAAACAAGACAAACAAAGAACCCTGTACCTCCACTAGATCGGCTATTTCTTTCCACTGTTCTTCTGTGGGGTTGATTCCTGTAGGATTGTGACAACAGCCATGGAATATCACTACTGACTTCTCTGGTGCTGCCTGCAAGAAAAAATAATTCAGGTCTGAATTTATACCAGATGTATATTTATAATTTTCAAGATACTGAAGTTCAAAGAAACGGTATCTATGAATGGTTTCAGTTGGTAGATCCAAGAGGACTTAATTTACTCAATGCAACGAACTTTGGTCATTATCTGCTAGACACTAATAATCTTAAGACTTAAAGCTTTACTATGTTCTGTTTGCCAATTTAACATGAATCTAATAAAACTATGGAAACATAAAAATGCTCACATTCAAGTCTTCCATCATTCCACTAAAGTCAATGGTGCGATTTTGAGCGTCCCAGTATCTGTACTGTTTTACATTAGAATATCCACAGCTTTTGAATATACCCATGTGATTACCTACAAATTCAAAAAGAACAAACAGAGTATATTAGTTTCATTGCTTGTAAATGTACATGTACACGCATGCTAATGCATACCGGTAATAATTTTCATTCCTCAAGAAAGGCATGCTTATAAAACGAAAGTAAAAGAGATGGTAGAACATTGTAAACAACTCATGAAAAAAAATGGTATGGGTTGAATTGTTTATTTACTCATACATGTACACTGTAACGTGTTAAGGTTTGCTTAATGAGTTTGTTTCATTTAATCACTGAATCAAATAATAAAACAATTACTGCTGCATGTTTTTCAGTCTATATGATGTAGCTGCAATAATGTAGCCCTCTCCCTTTTTTTTTTTTTTTTTTTTTTTTTTTTGGGAGAGGGCTACAACTCCTTAGGATCTCCGTAATGGTGCAAGTGCGGGAGTGATTCACTCCCGCACGGATTTCGGCTTAAATGATCAGTAAATGGCTATTTAATTCACATTTCTTACCTGAACTCCAAAAATGTAGTTAAGCAAAACATAAATCAATCCAAACATACACAGAACAATCCATATATCGGTTATTTTTCATGTATGTCAACATCACAACTTGAATTTATCCGCCATGTTTACTGACCTTGATCGATTTTATTTTGGGACAGCCAATGAGACTAGGGATCTCTAGGGAGCGGATCTCTGTAGGAATTACCTTATTTTAGGCATAAATATTGCTGTTTACGAAAAAATGTCACATGGAATCGTTTTATTTATCAATATTTAGTGATGCCATACAGCACAATCATTTAGTAACCCCGAAAATCTACTTTACAAAGTAATTTATAATTTTCAAGCGCAAGTCTCAGTGCATCACGCGAGAACTGTCATGGCTTCTGATGAGAGCGACTGGTAAACAAGCAGATTTATTTTATCTGGTTTAACGGGCTATGTTGTTGACAGTGAATAAAAATTTCGCCTTTTTAGAAGTAAGTTGAATGTAAAAACAATTTATTTTGCCTGCAGTCGCCCGTATTTAAAAAATATATTTGCACCATTACAGAGATGCTGTGGAATTGTAGCCCTCTCCAGAAAATATCAGATAAAAAAAATCGGAGAGGGCTACATTATTGCAGCTATATATGATGATTTAGCCACCCTTGATGTACAATATTCAATTTGCCCTTTATGCTTGGTAAATATTACAATCTTCCTCGGGTAGTTAAATCATCTTGTTGACCTCAAAATGGCAATTACTGTTTATTGTCAACCTGATGTTCCTCAACTTGTTGTCATTTAAAAAGTGAATACCTAGTTCAAATTTTGGGAGTCTCAAGCCAGTTAATATATCCAAATCTACAATCATAAAATACACAAAGAATTAGAATACATAATGCTAGATGAGATGACCACCTACCCCATGTTGGACTGGATGTGTACATTGTATCATATCCCAGCATTTTCTTACAGAAGTCTGCACAAATTCTAATTGCTCCAGTGCCCCCAATAGACTGGACACCTTCTACCTGAAATGTGCGAGATAGGAATTGCCAAATTTTGGAGCTGATTCTTAAAATGTTGTTATTACATAAGATCAGTTTAATTACAGTTTAAGGTTTTAAGAGTTTGAATTTTGACAGAACTTTTAAAAAGTTACAATCCATGATTGTTTATTATTCTTATTATATTTATAGTCACTTCTGATCCCAAACTGTTTATTGATTCAGTGCTGATCTACACAGAATGTCTATGATCTGTAAATGTTTGGGTCTCCTTTTCATAGAAAATGTTTATATTGAACTTAATTATAAGTACACAATTTAACATTAATGAAAAGACACAATTTAACATCAATGAAAAGAAACCATGAAAAGATTTCCTAACATAATGCATCATACATTTTATATTGCCTCTAAAGCATGAATACTAAACATACCCTGTTTTCACTAAGTGCTGGGGAGTCTTCTCCCAGGAGTAGTTTGAGGGCAGCTGATCTGAAATCAGGCATCCCCGCTATAGGGAGGTACTCGTGGTTCAGTGTGGGATCTGTTGCCATCTGGGCCTCCACTGTGCGGACCACCGGGAGTACCCATGGTTTACCCTCATCTGTCCTGTAAGCTGATAAAGAAAATACAGATTATATATCTTAGTTTAATTATATATTGATATAATGAAGTAATATAATCATGTTTTTAACTCAGTGGTGTAATATGATGGATAATTATAATTATGGCCATTATGAAATTAACAATGCCCAGTAGTATATGGAAATTATGCAAATAATCATTTGATTTAGGAAATATTTACCTGCATGTATTCAATAAAAAAATATTGCACACCAAATGGCACTTAGAAAATAAAACATATACTACCAAAAATAAAGTTTATTTACTAGTAAATAAAAGCTCTCTATGGCCATAAGAAACTTTTATGGAAGTGTCACATGATACAGAAAGTGTCGGTCCTGAAATGCATGGACGTCACTGTAATAGGCCATACATAAATTTTTAAGGACTGCTGTGTACTTTAAAACTACTTATTCTAATTTTTTTTAAAAGGCCATGAACCTGTACGAACTCTTAAGACTAAATCGTTATTATGATATGTAAATCATAAATGTATTGTTCTATTAACTTGAGTTTTCTCTGCATGTTCAACTGACATTACACGCTGTCTCGGTTATCCAACCTTGTCTGTCATTGTGGAATTCAACATCCCCTTTGCAACTTTCACTTTTAACTTACCTCCAACCCCGAGATTAACCTTGTTTGGATGACTGTCTTCATTGTACTGTGCTGTTAAATTAAACACTTCGATTGGCGGTGCGATCTCAATATCCCCAAATACTGAAGCCATGGCTCTCTCGTGTGTACAACTGATCGGCAATGCCAAGGTCAAATGTTGTCAAGGTGGTTTGAGGCCCATCGAAAGGTGCTTTAAAAGTTTTACGATATTCTTTCATCAATATCGCATGGACACGTTGCATTGCCGGTAGGCCTAGCATTAACTGATTCAAATCATTTATTACATAGAGGCCTTTATTTCACAGCGATACCAGTTTTGCTAGACCCAACTGTATATTTTCTCAAAATTCACGTGATCGCATTTGCAAGAAGAGAGAAACTGCTGCTGCTAGCGTGCGTGCCTTATAAGCCCATTTGCTTCCTGAATATTCCGCGGCGGGTTGTTCAAAGCCCCCCCCCCCCCCCCCAAGGAAATAGAATTTTCGAGTTTAGAGGATTTTTTTTATTTTTTTATTTTTTTTGGTCAAAAACCTCGTTCTACAACCACAACCCCCCGTTTTGAAATTTCTGGATCCGCCACTAATGTTGGTGGGGATGAGATCAATATTATTATCATAATCAGTCAATCATAAAAAGAGGATGAGACTAGCCCAACCTAATTTCACTTCTGAGACATACTAGTATTTGGGGAAAAAATAATAAAAACTTTTGTTCATATCTTTTATAGCCTCAAATTCGATCATTTTCAATACATAATACATTAAGAAGGAAAAATGAACCCCCACCACGGAAAAAAGCCTTTTGTTAGTAATACAGTAGAATAAAAAGGATAAAACAATTGTGAATTTTTGTATTGTAAACTTAATATTTGATGAGAAAAACCTCAAGAAAGATTACCAAACTGTAAAATCCAAAGCCTAAGTGAAATTTTGGTCAAACTTTCCTCAAAACGTCCATTACTGAATGTGCATTTTCTCTCTACAAAAAAGTAATTTTGTTTGACGATATGTAAACGAAAGAACTTATATAGAATGGAACAATTTCTAAACAATTTGAAAAGTATTTAACATCATGTGTATACCAGTTCTTCGTCAGCTAGTTTTCGATGTTCAAATCACCCCCCCTCCCATACACTCAATTTCAATTTGGTTTAGGGATGGGGGGGGGGGGGGCGCCGGGGGCATGCATAACCTGACGGAAATCTTTGACAAACAAAAATATGACATTATTAATGGTGGTGGTGGTGGGGGGGGGGGGGTCAATTAGCTTTGTTTTCTAGTGTAGTTCAGGACCTATGCTTCTCACTGGAGTAAAAAGTTCAAGCAGTAAGCACAACTGTGAATTAGCTTTGTTTTCTATAGTAAAGTATATACTGGCAAAATCATTGCCCCCCCTCACCCCCCCCCCCACCCCCCGTTTTCTATGGGCTTGCGAACCATTCATAGCGACCAGTTTTCATAAGGAATAAGGAAGAAAATAGTCAGTAGATGTAAAGATAAATTGGTAAATGGTTCTATTCTAAAGGATTGTTGACAAGGAAGGAAAAGACATATCCGTTGATTTTGCTAGGGAACAAATGGAGGGAACAAGAATAATTTTAGTTCATCTGAGCTGAAAGCTCGAATGAGCTTTTCTGATCACATTTTGTCTGTAGTCCGCCTGTCCAACTTTTCATATTTTTGACTTCTTCTCTAGAGCCACTGGGTCAATTTCAGCCAAACTTGCTACAAAGCATCCTTGGGTGAAGGGGATCCAAGAATTGAAGTTAGGGGGGCGCAAAAAGTATGCAGGGGGTCTGGGGGCCGCCTTGAGGCCCCCAGAAGCTCCTGGATTCTAAAGATTTTGTAGGGTAGAAATGAGGTCTACCGGGTAGGCATTTTTACATTTTCTAGACGAAACTATGATTTACGCTAACTTTGACAGTTTTAGGGGGGTGCGCGCCGGGTGCGCCAAACTATGAATCCGCCACTGCGATTTAAGCTTGTTCAAATGAAGGAACTCTCTCCTCTTTCAAGGGGATATAATTAAGAATTAGTGAAATTGGCGGTATCTTTCAAAAATCTTCTTCTCAAAAACCACCGGGCTAGAAAATATGAAACTTATGTGGAATCATCCACAGGTAGTGTAGATTCAAATTTGTTCAAATCATGACCCTGGGGGCCACAATGGGTGATCAAATTTTTACATAGGAATACATAAGAAAAATCTGTAAAAATCTTCCTCTCAAGAACAGCAAAGCCATGATTGGTCATATTTATATGGAAGCATCCTCAGGTAAAGTGTAGATTCAAATTTGTTTAAATTGTGACCCCCGGAGTTAGGGTGGAGCCACAATGGCGATTAAGTTTTTCACAGGGATACATGTACGTGATAGGAACACCCTTTAAAAATCTTCTTCTCAAGAACAACAAAGCCATGATTAGTCTTATACATGTATATTAATAAAGAAATATCCTCAGGAAATCTAGATTCAAATTTGTTCAAATCACGATCCCCCAGGAGTAGAGAGGGGCCACAACAGGCGATAAAAGTTATACAAAGGAATGTAAACTTTAAGGATGTTTCAATAAAAAAAATTTCTTCTCAAAAAGAGCAAAGCCAGTCATATTGATTTAGAAGCATCCTCAGGTTGTGTAAATTCAAGTGTGTTCAAATCATGTCCTGGGCAGGGGTAGGGCAAGGGCACAATAGAAGATCAACCACACAGGGAAAAAATCATGAAAAATCCACTAAAAGCCATGATTAGTCAAAGAAATATGGAAGCATCCTCGGGTAGTGTAGATTCAAGTTTGTTCAAATCGCCCCCCCCCTTTTTTTCCAATACTGAACTGATTTCTGCTTTTTCCCAGGCAAAGTTCTTAGGCGAGCGATGTGACCCATTGACCTCTTGTTTACTTTAGCCAACGTTCTTAGGTGAGCGATGTGACCCATATTTTTCGTAAGCAAAAAATGTATATTTTTATGCAAACTTTGAGGATTAACTTTCAAAAAGGTGGAGCGAAGACCCACTCATATCGAAAAATAGTATTATAGTATGAGAAAATGACTCTTTTTGCCCGCTTTAGTGTGTGTCTAATATTTCACAGGCAAATAATTTCAATCTTTGAGGGATTTTTGCAAATTGTAGAGATTTTCAATAAAGTATATTTTAATGTTAGACGAAATATCAAGGAAAATTTTGATATAATTGAAATTTAATTTTTCATCTTCATGTTTGTCACACTATAGGCTTATCGCTCGTCATGTTCACCCATCTCCTTTTAAAAGAAATACTGTATATGCAGTTATTTTTTATTTATTGTTCTTTGATATTTTGATACACTAAGATTTAGAACATCATAGAAACTATATCCCACAAATGCATATGTATTAATAACAAAGTTTTCCTTTTAAAATATGACATAGCCATCGCAAGAAATTTCGTTAAAAATTATAAAAAATATGTTCATTAAAACTATACGGTTTTCCCCTCGTGAAAACAGTCGCTAAATACATGTATATTACTAGAGAATACCACACAGATCTACATGTATTCGTTTATTGTTTAAAGGCGAATAATGGCCATGGCCGCGCTACAATTATTTTTTTAAGTTATCAGCAATTACAATTATTTATGGCTACAATCGTACATCATGCATTGGACGATTTTGGCGAGTGGGGTCTGTCAGCTAACATCCGCAACTGTACTCGGCAGTGCTGGTACCGGACATCCATGACTGTACCTGCTCACTAATATCAAAAACGGAATGTCAGAGCAAGATTTTCCGGATTGTTCAACATATTAAACTATATGTTTTTAATTAAGTATGGATTGTTTTTTAATGAAAAATACGAAATGTGTTAATATGGAGGAAAGAAAATTTCTGATTTTAAATAAATCTACTTTATGGAAGGCTGTAATCGCCAAAACGGTAACGATAACTGGCTTAGTGAATATATCGCGGAAAATATATGTAAACTTGACTATGCCTAAATTTTGTATATCTATGACTGTATACCTGTGCCTGATATACACCATCTGCGACTGTACCTGTGCCGTACATACACACTACCACTGACTCAACCCGCGCTTGATTAATAACATCCACGACAAAAAATTCTGTGGATTTTCTCCGATTTAAATTTAGACTGAATTCAATCAAAGCGCAATTAACGCTAATCTTTATATTACCCATGACAGTGATACCGAGACAAACGATGTCAGCAGTGATTAGGGAAGGATCCAAAACTTTTACAGATTTGAATTTAAAGCTTTATGTTCAGAGTACAATATGAGCCAGTGGCCCTTTTCACAAAAAATCTTACGACTAAGATGAAAATTTGACATTTCTGTAATTTTTTGTTTAATAAATATATTCATTTTTTTCTTAAATATTTTTACTAAGTAAGTTAATGTAATAGAAATATAAGATTTTTTGATGTCCTACTACAGCTTAGATACTTGTTGAGGTATGGGAAAATTTTTGTCTTAGTCATAAGATTTTTTGTGAAAAAGGCCACTGGTCTTTAATTTTTTTTTTTTCGGGGGGGGGGGGGGGGGGCTGGGGGCATGATTTCAATATCCTACATGCTCAATAATAATGATAAATTTAAAATGAAACATGCTAGTATACTTATAGAAAATATACGAGTAAACAATAAACAAAGTAAAATAAAAAAGGAAATTAAAATACATATTGGAATTAATTTGTAATCCTTAATTTTATGTTAGAAAGTATAAGTACGTCACAATATTATTAATTTCACCCATTTCATTGATCACGCAAGTGGTGTCAATGAAAAGCACAGGTTTTTTTCCCCATAAATATACATTTGTATGTCTTACGATATATACGGGTGGAATGGGCTGATCCACCCGTTTTCAATGTGTTATATATAAACATCTCAAGTGCACCCCAGGAAGTAGCCTCCTATGCCCTGAAAAAGAATAGTTCCTGACCAAAAAAAATTATTTATTTACAAAGTACATAAAATTTACTAGGCACAGCTATCTAAAGTGTAAAAATAGGCTGGAAGACCCCCCCCCCCCCCCCGCAAAAAAAAAAAAAAAAAAAAAATTCTCAAAAGAAATAAAAGTTAATTTTATGTGCATGGAACAATTAACATCTTGACTGGTCGATAACCGTGGCGTGATACCTGAAATATGCAGGGTATGGTATTAAAATAATTGCTCATATTAAAGGAAATTAATGCTATAATTATTGATAACATCCGAAGAAAATATTTGTATAAGTTAATATTCTTATTAGAT